ATAGAACCATCTAAATTCTAAATCTATTTAGGTAAGCCACACAAGTAAGTAGTTTGTTGATGTTCTTGTATTTTTGTTTTAAGGACAGATACAATTGCTATGAGTCTCATCGCGCTAACCATTCTTCTCTTACTGGATCGTGGTCCACCACTTACCTATGTCATGGCCATAATCCAGTTCCCCAAGTCGTCGCGTGAGTGTCGTAAGGGCCGCCACATACATATGGAATTCCGTTTCGAGATTCCGTTTCGTAATTCCGAAACGAAACGAATGGAACGGCCGTATGACCGACATTCGGAATCGCGTTTTGACCGCAAAATTTCGAACGGAAAACTCCGTAGTTGTGTGAAGGGTCACTGATCTTATATGGACTTGCTGCGTTCGGAATCCCAAATCGGAATGGAAAGGAAAAAAATAAATTCCGAAACGGAATCCCGAAATGGAATTCGTTATGTATGTGGTCAGTCTAAGAGAGACAGAGGAAAATGGAAAAAGAGTAGATGGGATGCCACATCTTCCTTATAATACTCTAATGTAATAATAAAACGCTTGGCAACTATGGCAAACAGCCCATATACGGGGAAAGCTATGGGGGAGGAATATATTCAGCAGTGGAGTTATGACCGGCTGTAATGATGATGACGATGATGACGACGATGATGATGATGGCGATGAATTATCCTTGTTTATAAACCATTTAACATTGGAAATTTGAATTTTGAACCCCACGTGTGTTTTATTTTTCTTATAAGTATATCATCATCATCATCATCATCATCATTACAGCTCTTCACAAGTTCACTGCTGAATATAGGCCTCCTACAAGTAACGTCTTGACCTTTGCGAAACTCACAGGACAAAATGAGGTGAGAGATGCTCTTCACACCGTCACACACACGGCAATGTTCGTATTGCCAGAGTAAAACTTTTTTTAAACTAAGTACGTATGTCAGATTTCGATACTTACCCTACGTAAAAAATATTATTTGTGAAAACCTTCACACCTACGTGATTCCATCCTGCCGAATGAGTAATACTGTGTAGTGACGGTGTAAGAATATCCACTAGCCTGAGAGAGAATCTGGAGATGGGCAGCAGCGTCTTCATAATAACGACTTAAATTATAAAAAAAAAAACTGTGGATACCAATCCGCTTGCCAAGTGTGACAACTATGGGCATATGAGATAATCTATGGGGGAGGCCTATGATCAATAGTAGACTTTAATAGGCTGAAACGATGTAACGGAATCAGTAATGACTCGTTTCGACTCGACCCGTTTAAAGTAGGTAAAACTGTGTGATTTAAAAAAAAAACTGTGTGATTTAAAAACATGTTAACAAAATGAAACAACTGCAAAAAATATAAATCGTGAATTAAAACGCGCGTCTGTCTAGTAACTATAACAAAGACGAGTTAAGCCCGGAAGCCGCACTGGCGCGGTATCGATTCACAGCTGACAGCGCATCTGCGTTGCGGACTGTGAAGTGTCCGATCTCATCGCACCATTGTTCATTCCTTCAGTAGGTATTTTACATTAAATGAAACGACTTAATTCTAACAACAATCATAACATGTAAAATGATTTTATGTGTGACTCAACGAATGGCAACAACTCGACTCCCAAGCGTGGTAATGTTGTCAAATATCGCCCCAATGATGCAATCTAAAGTAAAGCCTATGTTGAGCAGTAATTTTTGATAGGCTGTAATATAGTAAAAACAAAACTATGGCCGCTAAAAGTTTACTTACCTACCTACATTACACGCTCATGCAGGCTGTCAGTTTTACACATAGAATACTATAATACATACATAATAGAACAGGTCAGTGGGCGGAGCCCGCGTAGCCACTAAAATGTCATTAACACGTCAATTCACACGTATAAATGTCAACACGAGATGTGTTTTGACGTTACAATCGTTTCCAAATTTCGCATGCAAATTATTCAAAAAATGCCAAATTGCACCCTATTTACAAATAAATATGCATTAAAATTTAAACAATTTTTTTAATGATGATCTTGAACGTTAATCAAAAGTCTAAAACGTGTAAATTCATTCAGTCTGTCAACACAGCGAATCGGGTTTGGCGACGCCAATCCTCGTACAAAATAAAGTTGACAGCCGTTCTATTATGTATTATAGTATTCTATGGTTTTACAACAATCACGGTTGTGATTGACTAATAACCTACCGTGTAATGCAGTGATTGACGCCTGCATGACAATCCCATCAATCATGATTGATAAAAAAACGGATGGTGACTGATAGGCGTACATTACGCGCTCATGCAGGCGTCTATCACTGCATTACACGGTAGGTTATTCGTCAATCACAACCGTGATTGTTGTAAAGCCGACAGCCTGCAAGAGCGTGTAATGTACGCCTATCAGTCACCATCCATTTTTTCTCAATTATGATTGGTGGAATTGATTGACACCTGCATAGGCGTGTAATGTACGCCTAAGGATTATTAAAATAAAGTAAAGTTACAGTATATATACGTCCCACTGCTGGGCACAGGCCTCCGCTCATTTCTGAGAGGGTTTTAGGGCAAGGAATTGTCCGCCGCGCTGCCCCAATGCGTGTTGACGAACTTCACATGTCTACGAAATATTTTTTTTCTTATTTCTCTGACATGCAGGTTTCCTCACGATGTTTCCTTCACAGCCGAGCACGTGGTAAATCAGCACTTAAAATTGTAACTAACAATTTCATTGGTGCCGGCGGAGATCGAACCCGGTTTGCTCGCCTACTGTGAAATTTACAGCCAGCGCTAACCATCTGAGCTCTAATTTATTAAATTATAATTTAATAATAAGTTATAATTTAATAAATTAGATTATTAATAAATTATAATTTTATTTTCATATTATAATTATAAATATATAATACTTAATAAGTTGTTTTAAGAAGTGGACAGGACACTATTTGAATATCGGTGCTTATCCTTCACGTCGAACGCCCTACGCTGAGTCCTCACACTTAGGCTTAGGTATCTCGTAGTTTTTGAAATCTAATCAAATGAAGAGACGTCTCTCATTCAAAAACATATTCACATCATGTTTGCAACTTCGATTTCAAACCGCAACTCAAATGGCGCCAGTTAACTAGCAGATGTCCACGATAACATTTCTAGCTAATCAAACAAGCGAATTCGTTATTCGAAACACGATCTTAAGACAGCGTACAAGTTGCTGTATTTATACGCTGCTTCAAATTACTAACTGTGAAGTCGCAGAATGATTTTAAGACGCTTCCACATTGCAGGTAAATTTCGATGTGTTCATCATGTGATATCATTCGACAATTACACAAGGTGTGCCAAGTGACTGTGCGCAACAGTGGGAATATACAGGTTGTAACTATATCATTTGAACTTTGTTATCGTACGTTTTGTACGATTAAAAAAAGCGTCCATTATCGGACCCAAAGGTATTGTTATTTCTAAAAAAGCATTAGCAAACTGGAAAAAACGCAACACCTCCTCGCATTAGTATCGCTGTACCTCAACACCAGGCTGTTTTATTAGGATAGATATATTCTGCCATAAGTCGGTTTTTAAACTACTAATGTTTAAATGCAGGTTATGTTTTCATTTCGATACATTCGAGTTATAAGTTATTCGAGCTATTTAATCTACCATTAGTGTGTTTAGTTTAAAGGTCTATTAATATTGGCGCTCTAGACGGAATTCTCACGCATAATTTTAATGCTTCAATGTTCTGTCCAAAGTGAGCTATTAGACCATGAAATTGTTACATTTAACTACCTACCATACATTGCATTGTGTCTAAGTCTCAAATAGTAGAATACTTGTATCGTTAGATATATATCGTTAAAATTATTCATTGCTTGTTATCTCAGTATTTATGTTCCAAGTGATTTGTAGAGAAGCCAGTAAAGTTGCCTACAGGATTAAGTTTCCGAGACGCGGTCACTGACCGCTGAAGCGACGTCATACTTGCTGAACCTATTTTACGAGTTTTTAGTTTAAATTTGTGTATTGATTTGTGGCATTTGCTGACCCTTCCCCCAACGGAAGTACTCGGCCCCGCCCGTGAGCAGGTAATGTCCGCGCTCGGTTAATGCGAGGGGGTACAAGCACTGTTAACTTTAAATCATGAATGCTAATGTTTCATCGTATCATATATCAAGAACATTTAGTTATTTGATATACGGATTACCAAAAAATAGTACAATGTATAGTAAGAATATCTTAACTCTACAAAACAGAAGTGGTCAACCATACCGAACATAATATTGTTGTGTCTTTAGTATCTGCGCAAGCACAGAGACGTCGTATTTTCTCACTTTGCCTGCGCCGCTGCGTCTATGAAGTAGGACCATATTTTTAAAAATTAATAAACAACACATGACATTCAGCCCCGAAAACCAAAGTACCTATTCACAAGAGATGAGACATGATAAATGATGAAAAACAAAGAAATAATAATAATTTTTGTGTTAGCAAACCGAGATATAGCTCTTTGGTCTGCCGGTCGTACGAGGAAGCTTTTGCAGGAGGTTAATGGATTCAGTTGTTTTGTGGAAGTATTTAAAGAAGGCCTATGTGAGTGGACTTTTGATTGACTGTAATGATCACACGATGATGATGATGATGAAGAAAAAAACGTATTAGTGCGCTTCTAAATTAAATTTTATTTAGGTCAAGACGTAATGATAACTTTAAGCTTATATGTTATAAGTGAAAATTAGTCTTTATCACTTTCCTTTCTTATAAACACGATTTATGAGCTTGTATTGTATATGTATGTAGTATGAGTGTTATGTTTACCTTTGTATATATTTCATTCAATTTCGGAAGTTAAGATAACTTGTAATTTAGCAGACGTAGGTCTTATGAAACGATAAGAATTTGATAATTCATGACTATGATGAGCTGTGGAGCTACTAATAAAGTATACACATTTAAACTATTGACGTAATTAAATTTTAAAGGATCTAAAGTATTTAATAACTTCCTCTCTCGTTGCAGAGTTCCTAACGCCCCGAAGAGCTGCATCGCTGAGATCTTCAGCTCGGACTCGCCTGACAACAGCCCAGTGAAAAACGGATCGACGCGCCCCCGCGTCGTTCGTGACACCCCAACCCGCCCACGCGACACACACTCCAGGCTTTTTGGACAGGTGAACTTACACTCACTAATATTAAACTTGTGAAAGTTCTTGTATGGTTGAATGTATTTAACTAAAATTTTGCGGAAATTATATAATAGTAGCACACAGAATAGTAATAGGATACAGGATCGCAATTTATTATTCTTATGCGGGGTCTTCAACTTTCAATACCTTCCTTACTTGGAGTAATTTCATAATAGCCTAAACGAAGTCGTGAATAATGAATGCAGGCGTTTCGCTCTGTTTACATTTTGAGAAGTGACAAGTGCGAGTGGCAAATGTAACTGACAAATGACAAGTGCTTAGTGCGTGTGAACAGACAGTGACAATAAAAAGTATGAATAGAATATATTACGCACTAAGCATTTGCCATTTGTCAGTTACATTTGCCACTCGCACTTGTCACTTCTCAAAATGTAAACCGGGCCTAAATATCAAGATTTTTTTTATCGGACTATCGTAAAATCCGTTCTTAGTGAGCATCTGCATTGCGTAATGAGTAACTATACTAAATTTTAAGTCAATTGGTTGTATATTTTCAGAGATCTCTTGATGAGCCAGTCAGTGCTATTTCGCTATATATATATATATATATATATATATATATATATATATATATATATATATATATATATATATATATATATATATATATAGCTTCTCTTCTGCCTAAAAACCTTTGTAATTGGTTGTTTATTTATGCCGCCAAGCAGTAGTTTCTGCTCCTGTGTGTCGGTTTAAAGAGTAAGGGAGTCACCAAATATAAGCTATCAGTTCAGGAGTGACTGCGCGTTCGTTGACATTATCTGTTTCAATTTTTATTCATTAACTGGCTTTACGGCTTTGGGTTCTAGTCCTTCTGAGTATTTGTCTCAAGTATTTGCTGGTGTAGTCATTTAGCAGCGGGTGAATTGTCAACTTCATCATCAATCTTATATGGTAAATAATATTCAAACGAAGAGATTTTTTATTTTAGATAATTTATGGAATAACCTCCCCAAGGTGGCGGCGGAAGAGAATCTATCACTCCTTTTTGTCTTGTAAGTGTCGTAAGAGGCGACTAGATATGTCAAAAAGATCTTATGGTTTCCCATCACGATGGCAAACCGTGAAAAAATACGAAACGTCAATCCAGCTGCCAAGCGTGATGATTCAGCAAAAATCCTATTTATAATGTAAGAGGTTCATGTCCAGCAGACTTTAATGGCTCATGATGAATAATTAATAACGGAATTACGTCTTAATATATATAAATTACGTGTCACGTTGTTTGTCCGCGATGAACTCCTAAGCTACTTAACCGATTTTATTCAAATTTGCACACCGTGTGCAGTTTGGTCCAACTTGAGAGATAGGATAGTTTTTTTGGCCATTAGTGACCCGTTTTTTTTTTGCGAATTGAAGGATTTTTAATATTACATGACAAAGGGTCGTCGAAAAGGACAGAACAACGTCTGCCTGGAAAGCTAGTTATAATATAAAATCAGACAGTTTGATTTCAGTGTGTACCCTTATTGCTAAGTTTTAAGACAATAATTTCAAATGTTGCAGGCAACCACCACTTCCGTATCTCCCATGGTAACAGACACCATTCGCAGCCATATCCAGTTCGGAGACGCGGAGATGAATGGCAGCCCTTCCCACTCGCCCTCCAAGATGGTGAACGGCAGCGCTACTTCGACACCCAGCCGAGGTGAGACGGAGCCCGCCGATCACTGTGAGTCGATCCAGATGTAGGCACGAAAAGAGCACGTGTAGCAACACTGGGACAAATGGCTCAAATTATAATAGTTTGAATGTGGAACGGATATTAATTCAACCAAAAGTCTGTCAAAGCTTTAATTAATAACAGATTAATATTATTCATATACTACGTATTTTTGTAGGTTGTATAATTAAAAAAAGTTATATCACTAAAGCTATAACATAATATGAACGGCGACTATTAATGTTTCCGGACGATACATTTTTCGTAAACACGTTACGGAAATACTTTGAAGCTTTGCGATTCCGTTCCATTTTTGAACAGTTAAAACTGTGAACAGAGCTCGGAATGTTCTTTTATATATTATGTGATAATAAATTATAAGAGTTCTGCACACAGAACAGCGGTGCTGGAAACTCGCGTGCCCAAACACACATTATTTGGCACTCATGCACGCTAGGTTAAGCTTCTTATATTTCTGAGTTACGCTCCGGTATTGTTTTTAATAATAATATTATTAAAAAAACTCTATATTTCCCATAAACCTTATTGTGGCTTCTAAGGAGCATGGACACATAGTAAAAGAGATTTAACTATAAAGTAGCAAGTGACAGTTACTGCCAACAAATAAAACTTTGCAATTTTAGACGAAAATCTTGTAAGCGAATGGGATCAATGTTTTATTATAACTGTTGCACTATCAGAGCTAACAGTACTATTATTTAAAAAAAATATCTTCAACAAGTCAGTATTCTATTATTTAAAAAAAAACATCGGTCCTAACCTAAGATGGCGATTCGAATGAAAATCGTTTATTCTGTGAATGGTCAGCATCGTACACGCCACCGAAGAGGAACCCGGTGACTGGCGATGGGATTGCAGTGCTGCCGCCGCGACGTCGCCACCCTGCTGCCAGCCTGCGAGGTGCTGACGAACACGACCATCCTGACCTAGACTTCCTCAACCCCCAGCCAACTCATCGTTATTTTACGCGGCATTGGCCACCAAAACCCGCACAGTACTACGTTGATTCAACCACTAAACCTAGACTCACGTGTCATCAGTCCCCCCATGTTTTATTGGGTCTAAAAACCGACGACCCTTTTAAAATTCATCCTGATATAGACCCTAATTCACTATCTTCTCGTCCAATACTCGACCGGCATTGGCCTCCTTTTCCAGCCCAACATTACCTGGAACCAAATCAGAGTCATCATATTCCCTACCGTCCATTACCTCCGTGCGCTTTCGTCGGTATGACATCAGCTCTAGGAGAAAAACCTCAACCTGATTACAAGTACGATCCAGTACCAACCTTAGACGGGCCCATAGATCCATATATGGTAGCGAATACTAATCCGCCACTAAGTCTCTTTAAGTATGAAACAGACGGCCCTATACCTGATTGCACTTTACTTGACACACCTAAAGCTCCGGGTCCCTTTACTTTAACTGGTTTCCCTCCTATATTCCCTAAGCACGTGCCCGGATATCTATTTAAACTAAATCGGCACGCAGAGGACTTCAAACCTAAGACGTATTATGTAGACTATGTTCGCCAAAGAGAATTGGGTGGGTGTTTAATTTTGACTGAAGGAGAAACACTATTGCACTAATAAAAGTATGTGCTAGTACAGTATAGAGACAAAAGCTTGTATTTGTTATCTATTTGTACTTTAGAAACAAAATTTTTTGCTTGCTGCTCGTATGAAAGGACTTTGAGACGATTCCTTCAAGTCACTGAATTAAGCACTCTTTACCCTCTTTACGTTGTTAGCTTTTCGAAAATTAGAGTAAAATTGTTGTGTTAAATTATTTTCGAGATATTTGTAACCGTACTTATTGATTATCATTTTACAGCTTAGTATTCTGAAAACAGCTTTAAATCGTTGTATTTTGATGTTGGTATGTTATTTCGATAGTTTTTTTTTATTTGTAAAATAAATCGTAAACACAGTCTCCTACTTTATTGTATTTGCGATGCATTTTCTTCTTTTCTATTTTATTCCGTATCTCTCTGCTGCAGGCATTGCCTCTTGGCTTTGTTTACTATTGTAACAGTAATTAGCAAATAGCAAATATTATATCAGTAGAAATTTTGTATAATATTGTTATTTTCATTATTAATAATCACTTTCCCATTACAATTTGTGTAGGATTTCTAGAATTTAGAATTTTTTATTTTGTTGCATTGCATGATTTGTATTAGATATTACTGTTATCTTTGATAAAAAATATACCTAGGTTCGAATAACACTCAAGTTTTATATCGTTATTAGATTAGATTTAAATTGTAAGACATGAATGATATATTTTTTAAATTATTTAATCAAAATTATTTAGAGTAAAATAGAATCAGTAGTTGTATATGTAGCTATGCAAGAATAAGAAATTAATTGGTTATTTTCATCATTTCAGAAGGCAACCCCATCACCGGTGATGGATACAAGTCGCTGAACGGCCAGATCAACATGGTAACGTCAGTAAACGGTAGCAGCAACATCCTCCACAACCGCGTACCGCCCGGTGGTTACTCCTCGGGCCTCTGGTAGATCACCACCACGGCCCTCGCCCCCCACCCCCCACCCCTTCTACCACCTCAACGAATTAACTGCGGCCAACCATAACTTTCGACTAAACGCCGTCTAAATGGCAACTAAACTACCAACACTTTAATGTAACATACATTACATATCGAGTTATTCCCGGTGCGGCAAAGCGCATTCTGAATTATATCTTGAGTACTTTTTTCCATTCAACCCACTAAATTTCAGTCGGCGAACGCACGAACAACGTCCATTGAAACTGAAAGGGTATATGTTGTTTATCCTTAGCCTGTCCCAGTAATATTTCATTCGAATGATTTAGCATAGATTATAGATATTTTTGTAATAGTAATATTTCGATAGTTGTAACGAAATTAATAGATTCGTAGTGCGGCTCTTCAAAATCACTGGCAATGCGAACACCGATACAACAGTGTTCCGAACACGCCCCTTCGCATTACCCGCGAACACGAAGCGCCCGCCTGGCTAACTTGTAAGAAGTATTGTAATCTTGCACACTTTGAAGATGTTTACGCAATTATACTGCGAGCTAGGAGTGAGGATACGTATCAGCAATATACCAAAATTAACAGTGCCTTGAGAGGTGCATATGATGGGAAATTCTATGAGAATTAACTGTGTGATTGAGTAGGCATTTGTGTAAACGTACAAAAGTGATTATATGTCTATATAACACCGTATAGAAATAGTAATCATCCGGCACTTCCAGCTAATTGATAACATACAATTAACTTATAATATTCGACACTATTTATAACTTTTTTAATATCGTTTGTTGAATTCTATATCGTAATATTTAAATAGAGGGTTTATTAGATTGCATTTATTTTGTCTGTTTATACTTTTTTATTTTATTTTCTACTCGTGTAGAATTAATTGTGAAAGCTGATTTGAATTCCTGGTCGATTATCTGTTAACGGGTCCAACGGATTGTGTGTTAGTTTATTTAAAAATCTCATGTCAATAATTGTATAAAAGTAAGCCACGTTGTAATGTTCATTGTATTGCAAATTCACAGGCCTAATTTTAATAACTGTTAATAGATAATAACCATTTTTTCAAAATAAAGTTTTTTTTATTAACTTTTGTCTTTTCTTTAATTAATATTACCACTTTCCCGTTGTGTTTGTTCTACTACTTTAAACGTGCATGGCTCTAACACGTTTTTAAACGTGCAGTTATAATAGTAACATAGTTGTAGCACGAATGTGTCGGCTCGACCGGGGGAAGGACCACGCTCTTATAGAATCCCTGCGTAAAATAGTAGCTTAATGCTGCTGTATTTCGTATGGTGAGTGTAGAGAACTGGAGATGGGTGACAAGGCATCTGCATTTTAATTTGTAATCGAGTACGGATGTAGACGTCTATGGGCTACAGCAACCACTTACTATCAGATGGACTGTGTGCTCGTTTGTCACCCTATCCTGTAAAAAATACTACTACACAAGTCGGCCCCTTTTTTGGTAAGGAGTCCATACGAGTTGGTGTCATTCCCAATGTTTATCTTCTCCCAAACAGCTGTACTACGTAGTGCTATTATTTATTGTGTAGTTGTACGGCCCTGTTGTATTCCATTGTGTATTCGTAAGGCATCCTCAGTGATGTCAAGGCCTCTCAAGAATGCCTTTGATGCCTCTCAAGAACTTCTAAACAAACTGGATCGACTTCTTAATAATTCTATACGCTTCATTTTCGGTTTACGTAAATACGACCACATCTGCTCTTATCGTTCTCAGTTTAAATGGCTACCTCTCAGCTATGGCAGATATTTCAGAATACTGTGCCCATTATTTTCAGTTTTACACGATGCGTTTGTCCCTAAATATCTGTAATGCAAATTTCGGTATCAGGGTGATTCTCATAATCGTTGTCTCCGTTCTGCGGAAAAGTCTAATCTCCATGTCCCCCTCTGTCACACTAGCTTCTTGTATAAATCTTTTACGTCTCATAATATTGTGGAACGAGCTACCAAGCAGTGTACGTGCAGCCACGAGCAAGGCATCGTTCAAACGCTTGCTCTGGAATCATTTTCTTGCGTTGCAGAGGTAGTTTGTGGATTAACATTTTTTTATATCCTTAAATTCTAACTGTTCCCTTTTCCTGCTTTTATTTCAAAATTTTTATAGGTGTTCGAATCAAACAGCTATATTTAATTATGTATGTATAATTGCCGACATAAGTCGTGAGCACACTTTTTATTGATCGATACGACTTTGACCACGCTGACGTTCAACGTGATTGGTTCATCAGTCGATTCTCGTCGTCTATTGGTTTCGAACGTATCATTCGGCTTCCGTACACTTCAGAGCAATAATTTTAGTGATAACTTTTTAATTAGTTTATTTTCGTTAATTGTTTTTGTTACCTCGTTGTTAATTGTTGTTTGTGTATTCCTTGTTATTAATCGTTTTTGTTATTTCTTGTTTTTAATTATTTTTGTTATAATTTGAGTGTTCGTATTTTGGTCTAAATATTCAGAGAAGGAAGAATTTGGTGCTAAATAAACAATCCCGACAAATGGTCTATTCAGTGTTTAGTTACATGAAAAAATTAGGTACTGCGAAAAACATCATAGACGTATTTAAACATACTGCTAAGGCGACTAATGTCTAAGTAGCTACTGTACGGCGCCCCACAACACCAGATTTTATGGAAGGCATATCACCTCCTCCTTCTTCTTAATAAAATAATCAATTCTAACCATCAGGTATACATTAAATACATTATAGTAGATAATAAAATAACGGACACGAATATCTGCAACATTACTGTATCAAAGTAAAAGTTGATGTGTTCGAGTAAACATTTTCATAAAAGTCGGCGAAAACATTCAATTACGAATTGAAATAATAAAGGTACCCTATAATTTTGCCCGACAGTGTACCTACCTCCCACCACAGTTTATCTGTGCTCACGACTATTGTCGGCAACTATACTATATATGCATACATACACAGGCAGTATTAAGGAAATATATATATATATATATATACTAGCTTGCCAGGCAGACGTTGTTCTGCCCTTTTCGACGACCCTTTGTCATGTCCTAATAAAAATCCTTAAATTTGCAAAAAAGAAATTGTGAGTCATTCATGGGAAAAAAACTATCCTACCTCTCAAGTAGGACCAAACTGCACACGGTTTGCAAATTTGATTAAAATCGATTTAGTAGTTTAGTAGTTCATCGCGGACAAACAACGTGACCCGTAATTTATATATATATATATATATATATATATATATATATATATATATATATACAGAATGGGTCCCACATATATGCAATAAATGAAACCACAAGTAATACTAGTCCGTAGAAGTGTAGAAAAATTAAATATTAAATTAAAACCCGTAAAATAAAAAAGTGAAATTTTCAAACAAAATAAATATTAAAATAAATTCAGTAAAAGTGAACACTCTGTTTAGACAACGTACCTTGACCCCTTGGAAGAGTGACAACGTTGCACGCGGGTGGCACGCCGACAAAAGACACCGCTGTCGATATGTCGCAATACCAATAGTTTGCACTGCGTGGCAACGTCGCTTTTTAATGTTCAAGGATTCAAGTTCATTGAATCATTGACTTAGTGACCCAATTCTATAGTGTTCAAATTTGCTTAAAATTAAAACTCTACTTTTTGACCTAATTACTGGACCGATTACGTTCATTTTTTTCTATATCGTCAGCAAAGGCGATAACAAGTATATGGTTTCATTTATTGCATATATGTGGGACCCATTCTGTATATATATATATATATATATATATATATATATATATATATATCTTGTATGTGGCAGAAGAAGCACGAGAATAGAATGAACGCAGTAGAAATGCGGTCGTTAAGGAGTATGTTAGGGCTGAATCTTAATGACAGGGTAAGAAATTGTGTAATAAGAGAAGAGTGTGGTTTGCAAGATGATGTTGTGACCAGGATTAAGAAAGGAATGCTTCGGTGGTTTGGTCATGTGGAAAGAATGAATGAGGAAAGAGTGACAAAGAAAATTTACGTTGCAGAAGTGAATGGCAGAGTCGGAAAGGGACGTCCTAGGCGAAAATTTATCGACCAAATTGGCGATTTATTGAAAACGGGCCAAACCCTTAACCGACGAGCATGTATGCGGAGGTGTATGGATGTGAAGGAGGCGAGAGAGTTGTGTCAGGATCGTGCCAAATGGAAGTCTGTAGTCTCTGCCTACCCCTCTGGGTGACAGGTGTGAGTGTTTAGTAGAGAATACCTTGTTGCATTAAGTCCGCATTTTTGTACTTGGTGTGCCAATAAAGCATAAATAAATAAATAAATATGTGAACGCAGTTCTAAGCGATTATTTAGTTAGACGCTGCTACTTGTCACCTGAGCTGAATGTTTTGATTCCGGTGAATATGTCCGCTGTCACTGTGCGCTGGCGAGTCAGTAAGTCCAGAGCCGATAATCCAGAACCGATAATCCTTAACACTGCTTCTTATTAACAGTGTTCGGAAATCGGGTTATTTTCATGGACTCCTCGTTTGTCGGTAAAACTGACATTTGGAGAGAAAAAGTTTATACGCCACGCTGCAGTATGGTTGTAGCACGAATGGGTCGGCTCGACAACGCTCTCATAGAAATATCAGCGTAAAAAGCAGCTTTTAAGGTGGTAGAGCCATGCTGCAGCTATATCAGTAGTGTAGTTGTAGCACAAATGGATCGACTAGACCGGGGAAGGACCACGCTCTTACAGAATACCAGCGTAAAAAAGCGGCTTAACGCTGCTGTATTTAGTATGGTGAGTGTAGAAAACCGGAGACCCATTTAACTGGAAACGAGACATTCCATCTTAGCCCTTACTGGTAACAACGCATTTGCATTTTGATTCGTAATCGATGATGGATGTAGATGTCTATGGGCCCAAGCAACTACTTACCATCAGATGGACTGGGTGCTCGCTTGTCACCATTATCCTATAAAAAAGCATAATGTTTTTGTATCTCGTATGAAGAGTG